ATTCCCTAAGCCCTACAGTTTCCCTCACCATCTCGAGATCATGACAGTCCATTTCTACTGTAGTTCAGATAACAGGTCACGACCTTTCCCTTTTGAGCAATTTCGTGCGGTGGACCGCAAATCTTGCATTGCCCTCGAATTAATGAACTAAATTCCACACTTTTACTTTACCACGAATAGCTGCGTCGATGTCGATGTAGATCAAAACTTGGGCGGAAGATCGCATGTCAGATATTACGCTTTCATCTCCGGGATCCCCTGTGGCAAAATGGATGTGACTCCGAGACATTCGAGACAGACCCTGTTTTGAGATGCTTGGCCAAAATCGAAGATAAGTCCCATGGACGGCCGTTTTCACCGCACCACGGACGATGGGTGTGAGATCCAGACCATCAACCTACAGTTGAGTTATGCAGCACAGATCTTTGCCTCAACTTCGAGGAATAAAAGGTTGGGAGTTAAGGAGATGATCGACTCTAAGACGATTGCAGAATTCTGTCATTTCTGAAACGCCGTGAGTAAAGAGGAAAACAAGATTGCCTCAGAGCACCATAGCCAATAACGAGTACTGAGGAAATGGTACAAATATCCTGTGGCGGCTTAAAGGCACACCCTTGAAATGTAAGACTAGGTATGGAGTTTATTTCGAAAAAAACAGGGAGACGAATCTACTCCAACTTACTTTTGCGGAGTGACCCTGTACAGCTCGAATCCTGAGACGTCCACTACGAGGGGATTGATTGAGTTCATATCTGCCTTTCGCATCGCATCTGACAATTTCCTCCAGTTTGGAAATAGTGACGCCAATAAACTGCCTGCTCTTCAGTATCTCGTCGACATACAAATATCCACCTTTAAAAGCAAAAGAAGCAATCATATGAGAGAAGTTAACGCAGTTCCCTTATTTGACAGACAATGTAGGATAAAATCAGTTTATGGTACCAAATAGATAAAAAATATCATTATTCAGAAGAGAGTCATATCTTAGCGATTCCATGCAGCAAATTAAGTAATAATAAAACTAGTAGCATTTGATTTGACATTTGAGAAGCAAAAAATAACCGCTGCGGTCAATGACTTCTTCCATAGGTTCCCAGTTCTAAACATATGAATCACTTCAGCCGCGATGATCTTGAAACATAACGTTAAAAAATAGCTTAAAAATGTCAATCTAT